TTGATAAAGAAAAATAAGCATCTAAATTGTTAACACATATAACAAATGTTCTGGACATTTTTGTGACTACCTAAACTAACTTGGTTTTCTTATTTTATATATCTCAAAAACATTAAATAAGGGGCTAATTGATGGTGTCACTGTGCAGTGGGGATTTTTAGAAACACAAATATGACTATTTTTTTACAATTCACAGAATTTTTTATTCACTGAAAATACTTGAATGTAACCTTAAAAGTAAGTAAAACCACTGTGTTACATGGAGGAAATCCCAACCTGATATCAGCAGCTTCTTTGTTATTTTATTTGTATTCTCAGTAGTAAACTTTAAATTATCTATTTAGAATTCATTGTAGATTATCACTCAACATCAGTTTGGACAAAAGCAATCACCTTAAAAAGTAGTTGTTATTTGAAAACTGTAATATCGACTTCAACTTCAAACTTTTCCCAATGAAACTCATTCACAGCACTTAAATTGATGTAAACGCTTTGCTGCTAAAAATTTGTTCTGGTCAGTTTCATTAAAATGTTGATTTTTTCCCCCCCTCCATGCTTTACTTATGCTGTATCTGTTGTTAAGTAATACAATATGGGGAGAACTTTGAAATACCCAGACACAAAGTGTTGGGTATAGCTATGAAAATGCAATGACGTATTACTATGTATTATGATATTTCTATTATGACCTATTTAACAAAGTTTTTTAATACATACCAGGAGATTCATTCAAAGCACTTTACATATTAAATTACTTATCAAAACACAGCATATGTAGACCTTGACATTTGCTAAAGAACCAAAGATTTAACAAAAAACTTTAAAAAATGTTTTTAAAGAACCAGAACAAATCTTTAGCAGAACACAGATTACGTGGCAAAGAAATGTCTTTTTAGAAAACAGAGTAGACTCTTCAAGACATACTTTCTGCACGTAAGTGACACTGAATGTTTGGTGTATGGGATCACCTGTAAACATGCAGTAGGCTATGAAAAAACATGAAATCTATAACATAAAGGGGCAAAACTGCCAAAAACCTTTCAGACAGATTTTTTTATTTTTTATTCTTATTCTCAGAAGCCTATTAGTAGGTCTAGTTCTAATACCTTTTTTAAAAGAAAGTCCCATGCTATTTTGTTTTCAAATGGGTAATTTTAGAATGATTATACATTGACTGCATTCAATTGCATTCTTTATTTTCTCTTTCTATTTCTCAAGTAATCATAGAGCAAAGTAATGGCTTTGCAATGAATGCCAATATGTGGCTTCTTCATCAATGTGTTATTTTCCTCCTCAATTTGTTTTCTATATATCTTGTGATTTGAGAATTTATATGATGATAAAAGGACTCTCATTGAATGCATTGAGAGCATACGCTGTTTTGATTACTGCTCAAATTGTTTATTGACACATAACAAACAATAAAATATGAACTTTTAAGCATAACAAAATACTGTTTTGATAAAACAAATTCTATACTTTCTCTCAAGAGTTTATATTATTAATTATTTTTGCCCTTTACTTTTTTTTAATCATTTTATTGGAGGTTCGTACAACTCTTATCACAATTCATATCATGTTATATTATTCACTATAGCATTTTCATCCCACTGAAATTGTTCTTCATAATTGTGACAAAGCTATATTATAACATCATTAATTTGGTTTTTAACTCTGATTTTATTTATTGAAGGACCTATACCAAAAAATGAAATTTTACAAATGACTTTTTAACTATAGTTACATTTGTAAATAACTACAAAAAAGATCTGAAAATTCACGCACAATTTCAGAATAACAAAAACAGCATAATAGTATCAAAAAAATATTATGCTACATAGTAAATGTACAGTCAATAGAAGCATCCATGGTAAAGAATGGTTTGGTCTAAAGGAATTATTTTAAAGGGATGCATTTTAAAGAAATTCAATCTATTCCATTTTTACATCATTGTTGTCAAACTATATGAAATTATCTATAAATATATTAACATTTTGTATGTAAGGTACCACTCCTTTTACATATTTGTCATTTTCAGCAAAAGTTTATATTAAGAAAAAGCAAATAATATATTATTTTAAAATAATTTACTTTGTTTTCTGTGGAGATGTATAAATCAGTTTAAGTACTTTTTCAACACTTTCTACACCAATTTTTCAGTGGCATGAGTCACATTCATCAGTGAGGGAGAATGTTCTCAATATTTTTGTCTGGTTGTTCTATTTCTGTTTATCTAGTTTCCCTTCCCCCTTACACTCTTATCTTTGTTTTAGATTAATGGTTGACCATTTCATCTCATAGAGATGATCTTTAAAAGAAGTATGGAACTCAGAGGTGATATTCTGAGATTTTTGTGAACAAAATCTGTTATTAAGGTAAAACATGACCTCAGTAGCTACTTTCATTTCAAGCATTAAAAATTAGCTCAGGGTAATTAATCATCTTAAGGAGCTGACTAGTCTCCATATAGGAAGCAGATTTTTGTTTTTCAATATATTTGTGATTCTGTTTCACATTTTTTTCCCATTCTGTCAGAATTAATCTATTGTGGCCCTATAAATACTAAATCTTTATACTAAGACCATTTAGTAAAAATATGATTTAAAAATGTTAGTGATGTATACATGTAATTGAAAGATGTACCTGAATATATTGCGCAAGATTTAACTTTCTATATTGGTACAGAATATTTATATGAACCTGTTGTGGAAAAATTCTTAATCTTACTCATTTTTACCTTTGGGGCTATTTTTTTCCTTTTATGCCAAAGCTAGAAATAATACTACAACAGCTAACAACACTTCATATCTGAAAAGATATATCCGAATTCTAAAATGACCTCAATTGCTCTTTATTTCTCAGAAATCCCACTACAATGTGTTCTTGTAAATAAACACTTACTAATAAGGGAATTGTTTTTCATCAGAGTTTTTAAAGTGCAGGGACACAGTTTTGCTGTTACTTGGGGGGGAGGGAGGGTTGTGTTATTTTTGAGATGGCAGGGTTTGGTTTATTGTTTGTTTTTATTTTTAGTGGACCAAAGTAGGCAGTCCATTCTATTATTTGGGGATGTGGGAAATAACATATTTTCAATACATACATAGTAAGTTGAAGGAGAGTAAGTATTTAGGATGTTTTCTACTTTTTGATAGACCACTAGTTTATCATCTAGGGAATTCTTGATTTTATGCCCCAATGATATTCCTGCTGCTTGGAAGAGAAATTGGAGTTTCATAAAGGACTACTGACTTACTTCCAAGGGATAACTTAAAACAGGACCTGTCTTGACTATGTGGAAGTCAGTCTTAGTTGGTAGCTCCCTCCACTGTCAGTCTTTGCTACAAGTGCCTTCCCAGAATTTCAGCTGGAAGATTCTCTCAACTGAGCCATGTTCTCTCTCACTCCATTATAGACTCCATTTCTACTACAGGCATTTATGCTCTGCGTGCCTCACAAACCCCTTCTTAATTTAATTCTTTTTTTTCCTTTTTGGCCTTTCAGTAATTTTTGTTTTTGTTTTGTTTCATTTTAAGACCAAATGCAAACATGCTGCTTCTCTAGCAGTTGATGGATTCCTCTAAATGTGTTTTCTTAGCAGTCGTCCTCCCAGTCAAACCTCTCTGTTCCTAATGAGCTTTTCAATATGAAACGGACTTTCAGAGCCAATATTCACCATCAGGTTGCATCAAATTTTAAATTACACACCATTTTCCACAAAAGATATAAAGTTTCTGAATCCTTCTACTTAGATGTGCATTTTTAAAATATTTTCATATTTAGATGGGAAAGTATTAATCTAAAAAGAAAACGTGGGGATTTCCCTTGCTCACACCTTTAGCTCGAGCCAGTCCCCAGGCGCCGGGCATGCCCGCACTGCTGCTGTTCAAGCCTTCCCCTAGAAATGCATGCACGTGCTCCGACTTCATCCTCAAGACATGTCAACAGATGATCCTCATTCCTTCATTGGAGCTTTCATTTAGCATCGTGGGCTCTTGAAAAATAAAATACTCCAAATCCACAAGACCAGCCTTGTGATAACTACTTGTTTTAAACTGCTTACCATGTTTTGTTACTTTTCCTGGGATGACTTCTAAATTGTTGAATGTGAGTAATACATCCTTCCATTGGGTAGCACCAATGTACAAAGCATTCTCCCAGCCCTGACCGCCATTGCAGTCTAATCAAGATGATCTCGATTCGATAATGCAGGTACAATGGGCCTCATTTATAAGAGTTAGGCTCCAAGTGAAAACACTGAGTAAAGGCTTACAAAGTGTGTGACAATGAGAAGGCCGGCCTGTACCTTACGGAGCCAATGCAGAACACATGAGTGTACCTGATACTGTATCAGTCAGCTTTTCCGATTTACCAACAATTCCTTTTCCTGAAGAAATCATGATGGGATATTTTAACTAAGACATATATGCATACTTTATTAACATATAAATTAGATATGTATTATCTATGAAAATATTAACAAAAGTTAAATATCTGAAAATAGGAAGAATTATCATCTCTTAAGCTTGAAATGCCAGGGAGATTTGAATCTTTAGATAGAAGAAAGCTACTAGGATCTCATGCCTACAGTCAACCAGAGCCTCTGTTGAGTTGAAACAATGTCAGGAACCTGGTGGAGCGCCCTTACACCCTTGGCTGCAACCCTAGAGGTGGTCAGTTCCCCTTCATGCAGTGGCTCTGCGAGAGAAAGGCCTGGCTAAGTGTTTCTCTCAAGATTAAAGCCAAGAAAATCCCAGGGGGCAATTCCACTCTGGGACATGGAGTCACCACCACCACCAAACATAAATTATTCCAAACCTTGATTAGATTGTTTTGCAAACAAAAAGGAACTCCATAAGGATACCTTTATAAATGCAAAGATGATCGCATTCTCAAACACACATTGTTGACATAAATGTATGAATGTATATACGTAGTATTTTTTTATACAGTCTTATTTGGATCATGTTAAGTGAAAGTGTACATTTAATGTCACTGTCTAGGTGGTTCAATTAAGGGAATATTTGCACCAATGATAACAAATGCAAGACCATCAAAGAAAGAACGTATATCATTCCGAGACAATCCTGTGCAACTCAGTGGTGGCTGGGGAAGTGGGAAAAAGAAGGCGAAAACTTCAAACTAATCCTTCAAGTACCAGCATTCAAAACATATGGTGGACATTTTCTTTTCGCCAGTTTGTGGATATCTGGTCATGTTACCAATTGGATACAAAGTTTTACAGTCCTGTATTTAATTTGTATCATTATACATATTTCACAATTTTGTTTTCTGATGGAGTTATCTTATTCCCCATCTGTCAAATGCAGTTTTTATACTGGTTCTTATGCTCATGTAGGTGACTCCCAGAAAATCTTTAATTCTTAAAAGATTGCACATCTAGTTTCTTCTTTAGTTTAATGTTTATGATATATACATTCAATATAGTTTCTAGTACCAATAAACTTTAGTATAATTCATATATAATAGCTTGTAACTGTACTTTATAGATATACTTTAATGTACTGTTAATGAATAATTATATGTTAAGTGATTAAAAATATACAATGAAAGCTGTATTGCTTTTACAAAACATATAAGTCATCTTAGACTAGAGTCATGATACTAAAATAAATACTCCATTTAAATTAAAATAAGAAAATATATTTAAATAAGTATTTTAATGAGTTGACATTTAAACTATGCTATTTCAATTATGTTTTATCCTTATTTGTAAAAGATATATGTTAATTCTGTTTCATTAACAGTAGTGAATCAAAAATAACATTTTAATATTTTAAGTTGCCTTGATAATTTAAAATAAGACATTTTCCAAAGCTCCAATATCTAAGGATATTTTCTAAAAATGACCAGATCTGTTTAAATTTTACTATTATGTGATTAATATTCTGTGATAACCTAATATATTGTGCAGAATGCAGCATTTACATCTAGTGCTCCTTCGGATCTGTTATTCTCCTGAGTATGGAATTTTCTTAATAAAGCTTAAATTCATACTTCTCTAGTGACTTTTTGTAGCTGTGTTACTCTGTAATAGGATACCGAGGACTGGGTTTGTTCCCCTTCTTTTTCCTCTTCTTTATTGAAATATTTCATCTGGAATATAGAAATGACTAAACAGATTAAGAGATGCATTTATTTAGTTTCTGCCCTCCCATCTACGTTTAGGACCCTATTTTATTTCAAACCTATAAATCTCTTTTAACTTGATTGAAACAGAAATGTTAATGAACCTTGAGCTGTCAATCAATAAAGAAAACATAGATTCATATGTTGTGGCCTAGAAATTGCGCTTTGGAACATCAGCTCCATGTGCAGCTGCTTTATGAACACACTGTTATGTCATCCTTTCACTAACGGCATCCACACACCAGCATAATGTAATGATGGAAAATATTTTATCTTGGCTTATTGTGAACGCTGCAGGAGAAAACCACATTAAAACTGATATTGATGGGGTTTTATGGTTCATCTACACAAATCAATGAAGTGGAAAGGCTAGCATGAGAAGTGAGATGCTTATGATTAAACTATTTTAGTACTTAAAAGAACTTTTGTCTATGGTTCCCTTATTCTGTAATCTGTGTAATTGCTTTATACTAATAATTTTGAGAAGGATTGTGGGTGTTGATGCTCCCAAATTTATGTTACTAATGTGTACTTAGATAGAGTTTACTAATTATAGTGTTAAAGTGAAGGTGTTTATAGAATTGTTTATAGTGTCTAAGCTTTAGTATGATCATTTTTTAAAATCTCCCACAACTTAAAACTTATCATTTTGTAATATCAGTTTATTTGCATTTCTGAAATAAAATGTAAATTGAAATTTTTTTAAATGTGGAATAAGTCAAACCAAAGGGTATTCTTTTTCTGTCTGTCTTTAGGGAGACCTTAAGGCAAATATTGTCTCTAAGATTAGGGAAAGTGGAAATATAAAAATATCTTGTCATTTAGCTAACATTACCTTTTGGATTGACAGTGATGGACCACAGTTGTGCAAATGCATGAAGCAAAATAATGTTCCATCCCTTCTTGGCTTCAATATCCCATCCCATCGCACACCTCCTTTTCAACTCAATTCCCACAGTCCTACTTTTCTCCTTCAAGTACTTCTATAATAAATGGTTCCAGTCATTTTCAGTAAGAATGGCAATGGGAATTACTATTGAGAATCCTGTATCAAAAAAAAAAATCTGGTAGACCTGTCAAGAGAGCCCAGATTTAACTACATGGATCCATGAAGATGTCCCCTCCCAGCCCCTGGGCTCCCAAACCTTTGTTGAGACAAGCACAGGTAGATCTGATTTGGTATTCCACATCATGACAGGCATGGGTCCCAATTTCTGATGATGCTCTAACTTGGAAATATATCACTTTCATTTTTTTGAAAGCTAAAATAATATAGCAAAGCCAAAACATTAGTATAAGCACTACCGTGCCTTAGAGGCAAAATAGAATAAACCAGGGTTCCTGAAAACTAGTTTTGAGTTTGTGTTCATTGAGGAACATAGAAAATATTTTAACTAGGACAAATATGTTGGAAGGTGCCAACAGGGATGAATTTGTTGTAACTTAAATTGAAAATGGATAGTAAACATCAGTGTTTTAGAGACCTTTCTCCAGTTTTGAAACCTTCATAAGCTTTGGTTCTGGTTAGTCTAGGAGCCCTGGTAGAGCCATGCATTACGCGTTGGACCGGTAACCACAGGGCAACAGTTCGAAACCAGCAGCTCAACGGTCACAGTCTGCTATGCTCACAGACAGGTCCACTGTGTCCTGTAAGATGGCTGTGATCAGACTTGACTCAGCGGCATTTGATTGGATTTGAATATTCATTAGTTACTACTTTTATCATTGAAATAATTTCCCATTACTTGTTTGTGATTTATTTGTATTTGCTCTCCTTTTTTATCAATATCAGAATAAAACGGAGTTTATATGCGCACTAATAAAATGAAACATTTAGGAATTTATTTTAATGATAGTTTACTGGTAATTTGCATAACCAAAGTAGCAGTATGTTTCTTAGAAAATGAATAGCTTTAGCTGCTTCTTTTCAGGAAAATTCATTTGTTATGCATTTGGTATTGTTGTTAGTGCCGCTGACTTGATTTCAATTCAACTTCTAGTGACCCGATAAGCAACAGACCCAAACACACTTGGTCCTGTGCCATCCTCACAATTGCTATCATGTCTGAGCCCCTGGCATGCGTTTAATGGAGGCTGAGCAAACCCGTCACCCCGTCACGCCTTCCTTTGTTACCTTTGTATTTCCTACCAAATCAACAACAAAAACAGTTGCAGTCAAGTTGCTTCCTACTCATGACAATCCATGTGTGCAGAGCCGACCCACGCTGATGTGCTTTCCAGGACTAGCATTCAGAGGTAGATTCCCAGGCCTCCTGGTTGGGTTTGAACCAATACAAGGAAAAAAACTCTACAGTACTCTATGGAATGAAATGTTCTATGCTAATTTCTATCTAACCACTAATGTGTGATGAAATAATATTGTCCTTGGTGTGTCTGCTTACTTTATTCGGGCAATTTATATCTGTCATGCTTTGTGAAATTGAGAGAAAGGGTCTACCTAAGCATATAATAACTAACCTAGAGCTATGCTGTCTGATACATTAGCCACCAGCCTCTGTCAGGTTGGATTGCTAACCTCAAGGTGAGTGGGTCAAACATACACTCACTCTTCAGGAAATGACGAAATGATGTGCGCCCTTAAAGATGTACCACCTCAAAACCCTATAGGACAGCTGTGAGTCAAAATTGCCTTGATGACATTAGTCGGTATTATAAAACATACATATAGATTTAATATAAGAATTCAAAGGTGTAAAATTTTTTTATATTAAATTAATGGAGAGCCCTGGTGGCATAGCTGTTACATGTTGGGCAAGGTTAGCAGTTTGAAACCAGAGCCAGCTCTGCAGGGGAATGATGACGCATTATGGTCCCATAAAGAATTCGAGTCTCCGAAAAAACCCAGGGGGACAGCTCACCCTGCCTAACAGGGTCGCTGTGAGCCAGAATTGACTCCATGGCAGTGATTGTTGTTGTTCTTGTTTTGTTTTATTCAACTAATAAGGCCCTTCCAGCCTTAATCACTTATGGGATGTAATCCAGGATTTCATACACCTCTGGCAATAGTCCTATAGAGAGGGCATTACCTGATAATGAACAGGAATCTGATGAAATTAAGACATGACCTTAGTATAGGGTGCTAGGTCACATTCTTGGTTTAATGGCTATCTGGGTTCCTGTTATTTGTAAAGGATGTTAGGAAGGAGATGCTGCAGCTGAAAGGAGAAAAGCTGCTGCTCGGTGCCTGGGGGAAAGCCTGGCTGATGGAGACGAGCAGGAGGCCAATACGTGCTGGAACCATCCTGCCCGAGGCCCCTGGGGCATATGTACCTGAATAAGATATAGTCTAGGGGTAGACAATATATCTGGTGAATGGTTATGTGTTAATTTGATTATACATTGTACTCAATGTAACTCCCATCAGAGGACCCATGCATGGTTCTGGTAGGAAGGTGGGGAAAGATACTAATACGGTAATATTCACCTGTGAGTTGTTGTGAACAAGATTCCCTGCAATGCCATCCTGCTGCATATAAAATGAGCCCTCTGAGGGGTGTGATCTCATCAATGACAAGAGCCAGAGTGAACCATATCCTCTAGACCCAGCATCTGGCTCAGCCCTGACTGATCTTCAGATTTTTTATCAAACAGAAATGGGACATTTCTTTAAATGTTCATGAGTTCTGAAGGACACTGAAGTGGTTTGTGGAACCCATAAGCATCCAAGGGAGGAGTGGTGAGGGAAATGGAGCAGAAGAGCATCTTTGAAGAGTTGAACACTTGGGACTTTTTCCAGCCCCAACTCCTTGAAACTAGTTTTGTATTAATTCTTACAAAAGAAATTATTACCAGAATATTTTACATTGTTCATATGCTAAAAATAATAATAGTTTGGATATATTAGATTGAAAGAAATATTTTAAATGATTTCATTTGTTTGTTCTTTAATGAGACTGAGAAAGTTTTTGAGTACATATGTGGTTCACATTATATTTTTATTGGACACACTGACTTATAGGCTATTCTGTGAAATCATTTAGGCAAGGTGTTTTGATGCAGAAAGTACTTTGTAAGATAATAAGTAATAAGAATAACTACTGAAAGCAGATTACAAAACTCCTGGT